ATTTTACTCAATAGGGGTATTCGCGATCCGGTACATACGGTGTTCAAACAACAACAAAATTAGCAAATAATGCTATTTATGCTATGTGTGCACCGGATCGTGAATACCCCTGAAGTAATTTTTTTCCATTTGGTGGCACACTAGTTTTATTACACTACATTTGTTTTGACAAGAAGAAAATGTTCACTGTTTTATTTTAACATTTCGAAGTATTTAAAATTAGTAAAACTAAAAAGATCGTAAAATTTCAAAAGTTACAAAATAGCTGCGACAGATATTCTGCATGCTGCCAATGGTTGTTTTTTTTAAATTTGGTGGCACACTCTTCAAACTTCACAGATATGTTGTATTTGATGCCTGAGTCCATTGACTGTAATATGAACATTCCATCTGACAACTTTCCAAAGTTATAAAAAAAACAATTATGATTTTTTCGAGTGACAATGAAAAAATAAGCCATTTCGGTACTTTTGCGCCTAAATGAACATTTTAAGGCTAGAATTTTTCAAATACTTGATTTATTTTTTATTGTAATTGTTTCTGGAACTCCAGTGATTGAAATAACTGCAAGAAGAATGCTTACGCGTTTTTTGTTTTTCTGGAGAGAGGAGCAACTGACACTAAAAAAACAACTCGTGAGATTTGCTCACATATGAAAGTGTAATCTTACTGGAGGATACTATTTATTCTTGACTTTTAGAAAAACTAAAGAGGGAAAAGAAAGTGTGATTTTTTGCACAACAATACGATAATTTAAAAAAAGTATTTTTATTTTGGCTTATTTTCAAGGGTCAAATATACCACATACATTGAATTTATTTCATTTTAGTGACATATTTTAATAAACTCTTCACAATATAAAAAAAATCGTATACATTTCAAAGAGAAATATTTAAATAGGCAAAAACGTTGCGACTCAATCAAATCAAATGCTCGCTAACAACAAACTGAATGACATCAAATAATTTCAAGGTATTTGCACAGCAAATTGTCTGATTCTACTAAGTATGTACATACGTACATTGCATGCATATAGGAATTTCAGTAGCTGCGAGCGTATTTCGCATCGTTTGCGCTCGTTTTCGATAAAAATGAACTGAGTGAGCGTAGAAATTATGCCATTCATTGCCGATGTAGAGCAATCAATGTATATTGTCTTAGTAATTGATACCTAAACAACGCTCAAGGGCAATACCAATAGCAACAACAACCACAGCAATAACTGTGAAAACAACATTTGCAATTCTAGCAAACCTTGGCCACGTTTTCGCACTAACACAACGCATCAATCTCCCCACATCCTTCGACACTTCCACAACCCGCCACCTGACTACCCCACACAATCACTAACTTGTGTTATTGCATAGAAAATTGCACCAAGTCTCGCATTTCCCGCGTCTCTTCGATTTTTTTTCAAAACGGACAATTACAGCAGCAGCGGCTGCAGGCGAGACAAAGCCAGCAACGGATGAAGAGCGGAAAGAATCGGAGGCGTAAGAGCGAAATAAAAATGTCAACGAACGCAATGCCGGCGACGAGGACAAAGGCAAACAGGCAGGCAGTCAGACGCAGCTGCAACCATGCCTTATTCTGCCAGCTTTTGTGCAAGGAGAAGAGGTATGAGCAAAAGCGGAAAAACTAAGTGTATGAGAATTTTAAGTGTTGGGTTCAGGGTTGCCGTTTTGGGCTTTTCCTACCAAAATTGGTAGGTTTTTTTTCTAGTTGGTAGGATGGTAGGACGCTTAAAATTTTGGTAGGTTTCATTGCTCATAAAACAGAAAACATTTCTGGTTTGCTATAGAGTGTCACTTTGTCAGCACTGTGAGTAGGCTTGCCAACATAAGTTTTACCCTCAGTCTGTTTCTTGGATGGATCCAACTGTGTGCCATTATTTCAAATACCTTTAAAAACAAAGCTTTGCTACTGCGTATCAAAAGGGATATCAAGTGATTGAATTGATGGATGTTAGGGTAGGTTTATAAATCAGATATTTTTCTTTGAAATGCAGTTGCGAATCGATAGTAGTTTTAACAATGACAAAATAGTTATAATATTTTAAATGGCACTAGAAGAGCGATTCAAATGCATATTAGATAAAAAATATAAGTGTTTACAAAATATGTTATTTTTTATCATACACGAAAATTAAAAAGAAAACAACTTATTGTTAGTCATACATATTTCCAGTAAATCGGAGGATCACAAAGCTTTTAACTGCGACTCGTAGAAATTAATGGCAAACCCGCAGCGCGCAGATTTTTTCCCAAGCCCGGCGGCTCCTAGACCCGGACATTTGGCAAGCCTTACCGTGAGGTATATTTTTAACTCAATTATGTATGTTTATATACTTCATAAGATAAGTATGTATGCAAATGAGCGATGTATAAAAAATCAACGAAGGAATTTTATTTTGTGCTTCGATCTTTCACGTCATTTACTCCGAAGGTTTTATTAAAACTATAAACTATGCGAATTTTTTGCCGCACTACTTTTTTGTGCTATATGTACATATATAATAGCTATTATTCTGATATTTTTGTTTACCTTGAAATCTTATTTCACGTATAAAAACCAGCAAAAATTAATTTATTTAATGCTGTGAAACGCATTTTTCTCGATTAAAAGAAATGGTAGGAAAGAAGCCATTTGGTAGGTTTATGAACCAGCTCATGGTTGGAAAGAAAATTTTTCCGTGGTAACACTGGTTGGGTTTCGACGAACCCTCCTGCGAGAGAGCACAACCAAGGATGACATCCTTGATTCTAAAAGGCAGCAACCGGCATGTTGAGTTATGTATGTGTGTATGAATGTGATGTCTAGAAATGAAAAACACATACGGATAAAAACAAGCGATGCAAGTGAAAGAAGAATACTAATATGAAAATATGAAGAGCGGGAAAAAATAAAAAGATATACATATGTATGTACATATATGCACTTTGTTTAATGTCAAGCGAGGAACGTAAAGCAGATGCAAACGAGCGTAGCTCGCATGAGTAAATGAGGAATGCATGATTTTGTTTTGTTTCAATTACTGGCGCATGTCGTATTGCGTGTTGTTGTTATATTCAGTGGGTGGCTGAATTTGTAGAAAATAATAAGAGTAAAGACAACAAAAACAAAAAACAACGACTAACGACCAGAAGCACAGTCAGCAAGCGCCACCAAAGGACTTCACGCCAAATTACGCAGTGTAGGCGCAACAACAACACCAACCAAATAATATTGAATGAAAAGCTCCATCGTTACAACTGTGTGCATGTGAGCATGTGAGCCAGCATAAACTCACACACGGTGGAAGTATGGGTGAGTAAGCTCTCTCCGAAATGCAGCGGCCAGCAGGTGTGTAGAGTTTAATTAGTGGCACTCTTTGGAGAATTTCGCTCTGCAGTCAGTGACGCTTTTACACCCCTACGTATGGTCACCCACTACACAACCAACTAGGGTTGCCAACCGGACTATAATATACTGTATTATACTATGTTTCCGATCGGCGTACTATATACCGTTGGAAAAAAATATAGTACGCGAAAATACTATATTTCATCAATTATAAATATAAATATACTTAATTCAGTAGTTTGCAAAAAAAAATGTGTTTTACAATGGATGACCTTTATACTAAAATAACAATATTAAATGAAATATTCTTTATAGTAAAAGGTCACTGTGAGTTTATAATCAAAAAAGGTAACATAACTGAGCAAGAGTTAACAGACTTACTTAAAATTACATATTTCATTTCTACTCTTTATTCCAGCAACTTTGGCATTCACAGGAAGAAATTTTCCATCACTTAAAAATCGTTTTTACTTTCTCTTAAAAATAAAATACTATATATATTTGAAGTGCACTATATTTTTAAAATTTTTTTGAAAAAGTACTATAAATATCTTAAAAATAAAATACTATATATATTTGAAGTGCACTATATTTTTTAAATTTTTTTGAAAAAGTACTATAAATATCTTAGAAAATGTTGGCAACCCTACAGCCAACACCAACATTGCTACGCAGAGCCTGTGGCAATTTGCAATTAACGATTAAAAATCCAGCAATGGTGGTAGACTGGTGGTTGGCAGACTACGAAATGGCCTTAAGGAACTCATACTACTTCGGAATGTGGCTATAGCTGGAGGAACTGGTGGAAAGAAATGAAGTACTGCAGCGGCATTAACCGCAGACGACCAGCATCCGGAAAGTTTGGGGATAAAAAAAAGAATTCGGATAGCGAGTGAGAGTGTGGCGTTCAAAATACATACGAAGGTGTGTGCGATGGTAGTTTCAAGGGCTCAAGATTGTTATTCTATTTATTTTTTGGCTTACGGTTATAATGATTTTTGAAGTGTTTTCTTAATTTATAACTAAGTTGCATTTACAAAGAAACTTCAAGTTAAATTAAACTCAAACAGTTATTGCGAGACATCGGATATTCGTTCCAAAATTCATCACTCCATAATAAAGCTAAATGCTAATCAAATTGAAAATGCATCGTTTTTGTACAAAAAAAAAAATATGTTAAAAAGGCCGCTAATTTTTGTTTTGATTTGCCACCAAATCAGGCATATTGAAATTAGTTTATTTCTTCGTGCAATTAAACTTTTGCAAAACTAAATATAACATAATTTTAGGCATCACATAATAATATTTTAGTTTTCCCCGCTTTATTTTCAAAATTTCTCAGCACCAGTGCTTCGGCTTCGAGATACCCAAACTAATCGCTCGCGGGATTCTAAATGTTTCAGCGCTAAATTTCAAAACTTTCTGTATGACTAATAGATGCGCCTAAATGTATGCAACATTAAGGACTCAAAGGTGCATTCTCAAATCGAATGCATGAGGGACAGCTAGGTCCTCTGGAAGCAATGCATACTTTTTGGCGCACCTGCAATTCATATAGAAATTTTTGGAGACAGAAATTCAGCGCAACGTAGCTATTTCTGGAATCCCACTGCTGAACTTGCAAAAGGCATTCTAAATTTTTTAAATAACAAACTTACCTTTCATTTACTACTTTATTCGTTGTTTACAAGCTGTCACAGCTTCACCCAAAATTATTTGCTGCTTCTTCTGCTTCTTAAACACCTCCAACACAGTCATTAAATTACACAAAACATATTTCTTCTACATATATTGCACCATTAAATTGCTTTACAGCAATAATTACATATCATCACTAACTTTTTACTTTGTTTTCTAAGTTTCCAGTTTTGAGTTATTTCCGTAAAAATCGCTTTTATTATTATTTTGTCATAAATTACCGCAGCGGACGTACCTCGCACAGCGCTTGCGCAGTTTCTCGCAACTCATCCACCTTCCACGCGTTTCCTTCAGCACTTCAATGACCACACCGACGCAAGTTTAAGAGCGATTGGTATGGAGGTTTACTGCGTTTATTTCGGTACACCCAAGTAGTTAGTATATTTGTGAATATATTGTGTTTGCATGCCTTGGTATGCCAATTCATATGCATGCAGCCAGACGCGCATTCTAGCTGCCTTTACATAGAGCCGAAAAAAAGCTAAGCACCAACAGCACTACGCCTGCAATTCTTCATTTTCATCAGCTCGTATTTTTCCGGAAGTCTCGCGACGCCGTTTTGTTGCTCCAATAAATACGCAAATTTAAACGCAATTTCCACCAAATATTACAAAATGTTAATATTCTCCTTTTACCGTTATCTTCTTTTTACACTACCGCACGAACGCACACACGAACAAATGCTTAGCTCGCCGCTTTATTGCTTTGTAATTGCAGAAAAAATCGAACGCCACTCACGCCCCCGCTTCGCGCGCGCACTCACGCACAAACGCATTCAAGCGTACACAAAGCGGCAGCCAATATACATATTTATAGCACTCAATTGAACTTCTATATCAGCGACGCGATGCGTACCGAAAATATTTACACATCCTTCGCCCGCGAATGTTCGCTCGAAACTGAGCTCACACTAAGGCACTGCGCTCGATTTTAAATCTCCAACAGACATCACGGCTGCGGGTGAAAGCTTTTTGTGCAGACAATTGGATTTGCTTTTGTTTTTCTAGCGAGACATTTGTAGACGTATTATGGCGCTCACTTATATCCTGAGCTTTCCTAACAAAGTTGCCAAGAGTTGTAAAAAGGTTTTGAGGAAATTTAAAAAAATATTTTATGTTATAACAATATATCTATTCTCAGTTATTTTCTTAATAGTTTATCAACGTTCTTTTTACTAATTAATTTGAGAGAGTTAAGTGTGAATATATTGATAGAGTTGCCACCCAATTGAAAAATATCCTTACATATTAACTTGAAAATTATGGCAAAATTAATATAAAACGAGGTGTATTTTAGAGTACTATAATAACACTGACCATTCGTATCGATTTTGGCGGGACAGTACCGCTTTTGAGAAAATTGTCCCGCTGAATATTTTTTAAAAAGTCGGGACGTATAGGTGTCCCGATTTTTCGTATTTGTACCGATTAAATCTCGATTTTCAGAGTTATCTTTATTAATTTTTATTTTATTTGTTTATTTCAGTCAATTGAACAATAAATTCTTACTGACTATAATTCAGAAGTACTTAAAACTGATTAAAATAGTTGTATAATAAACTACGAACTGCTCCACAAGATAGAGACGGATCAAAAGTTGGAATATTGTTTAGCTCCACTAAGGTTCTATTCAAGCGAGCATACATTGCATAGTTTGTTTTAGAAAATACGATATAGAAAGAAAAAACCCGTAATTACGTGTAGGAACATTAAAGGTTATTTTTTGCAAGAGCTTAGGGCAATCAACCGATCCATTCAAGAGGTTGGCAACGTATGAGCAGGCAAGATAAGCAGATCTGCTACGTAGAGTTTGTAAATTAAGAAGCGCACAACGTGATTCATATGCATTATAGATATTTAGATGACGAGAAGCAGGACCCGATGTCATTAATAAATAAAATAAACAACAGTGGTCCAAGTACACTACCTTGCGGAACACCTGACGTCGCGATAAAAGGTTGTGAGTAGACATCCTCGAGCACAACCATGCAATTTCTGTCAGACAAATATGATTTAATCCACTCCAGAAAATTTGAGTGGAAACCCATGGAGAATAATTTAGACACTAGGACCTTGTGAGAAACTCTTTCAAATGCCTTTGAAAAATCTGTATAGATTGTGTCGACTTGATCTTCCGACAATCTTCCGTAAAAATTGGAGACTGTGGACCTTCCTTTAATAAAACCATGTTGGTTTTGATTACTTAAGCTGCTAACTGAGAATGACAATTTCTCCTTAATAACACATTCGAAAATTTTCGCAAATGTGGTTAACTTTGAAATTGGTCTAAAATTAGCTACACAATTTTTGTTGCCACTTTTAAAGATCGGTGTTAGATGAGCCTTTTTCCAGTCATCAATAAATTTACCCGATGCTATAGACATATTAAAAATCAGTGTCAAAGGTTGAATTAATGCAGGACATTTTTTAAAGAGTGTGGCTGAAAGGCCATCAGGATCCATAAGATTTGATGTTTTAAGTGAATCAATACCACTACTAACGTCCACTTCCGATAGTATAAGCGACCCAAACACAGGTAGGCATTCAGGAATAAAGGCATTAGCATGGGGAATATCTGCGTCAGACACAAAATTTGAGGAGAAAAACTCGGCAAAAATATTATCCTTGTAAAAGACAGACGCAGGAATGCTAGATTTCGAATTTTTGGATATGATAAGTTAGACCAATCGTTACCCTGAATAATATAATTCAAGTCATTAAAATTACACAAGTTATAATTTAGTTTGGGACGAGAACTAAAATGTGGAGCAGCATAGAACTGTAGGCTTATCACTAGAGGAATATGGTGCAAGTTTTCAGCTGAGATCGGAGAACTACAAACTGACAATAGAAAATGCAAATTATTAGATAAAAAGACTACATCTAAAAGCCGATTATGTTTCTACTATCACTAGACATTTTTACTGGAGTTAAGATAAATAGGCTGTTCAAATTACGCCATGAAATATTACTTAAATTAAAATCCCCAAGAACACAAAGTTGATGATCTCCTATGCTAGAACTTAATGAAATAATATTATCGATATGTGACTTATAAATCATATAATTGCTGTTCTGAGGAATAAATGTGGCACACAGAAAGAGTAGTCCACTCGGGCACCGCACACTGACGCATAGTTGATCAAGAATAGAGTCCGTATTTTTCAAATTCATAGACGTTGAACAGAGTTTACGTTTTACCGTGATTAAAACTCCACCACCCCTCGAACACCCAGTTTTTAACTCATCTCTATCCTCCCGGAATACATTATAGAGAGTAGCATCAAAGAATTCAGCATCAAAGAAATTTGGGGTTAACCAACTTTCAATCATAATGAAACTGTCATATTCTAGATGTGAGCTTAGCCTGCGAACCATATCACCTATAGATCGCATGCCAGACACATTATGAAAATAGATTTTCAGCTCATTCGCAGGTTTAACATTACTGGGCTTGTTGAGACTGCTGTTCCTTTCTTTGTAAAAAACGAAATGGACGAACCGTAACAAAAGCGGGGCAGATTTCGGGCATAAGCAGCTTACGAAAGAGCCCTTCTGGAACACCCAATTTAAAATTCTCATGTTTTAGAGCATAAGTTTCAGCATTTTCACAAGTTTAAAAGCTGATAACAGATTTTAAGAGATGCCCGAATATTTTTCTACATATGCAAGTATATCATCAGTCTCCACATGGCATAAACGAAGCGAGATGAAGCCACTTTAAATGCTCGGAAACTTTAAGATCAGCGTTAGTACTGGATCCAAAAACCCGCAGATCATTCACTTTCTTAACATTATTATTACGAGGTACATTAGCCCCGATATCGTGTAGATCATTAATGCGCGTAGAATGCGAAGCGGCTGTGTTATTAGGTAAACGCATATTTGCACACCCTAATGCTGTTGAAGTATTTACATTTTTTTTCAAATTCTTGACGTTTGCAAGCAATTCAATTTTTTAAATTTTACACGCAAACTCACACACACATTCTCATTTTCAATCTCAAACAACAACGACTTTGGGCAATTCCCTTTTTTTACTCTTAATTTTATATGATTTTAAAATTTTGGCAAACTTCAAAAAAAATCATGGCCGACGAATTCAGAGAACGGTTTTACCTTACTAAATATGTTTTTATCGTGGAAAAAACTTCATAAGTATTCCTATACCTCCTATGAAGTTTTCAAATACTACTGAATGCAATCAACATACTCAAGTCAAGGCGAATTTATACAAGGTGGTGTTGTAAAATCAGCTGATTTCTTCGCCTTACATGTATTTTTTTTTTGCTTTTACTGATTTGACAGCACTCCCATCAAAAGCAAAAACAAAATACATATAAACTTTGGAGCGAATTGAGATTTGACATAACACCCTCCATTCAAAATACATATGGTTGTCGTTGTTGTAATCTAAATTCGCCAGTAACACCAGAGAACTTAGATAGATAGAGAAGGTGCAAATTTTTGGAACGTAAAATTGTTTGGCTGAAAAATAAATCCATGGAATATCACCACAGCGCGATTAACATTTCAAGAAGAGTTAACAGAGAAAAATGTAAATTTCTGTTATGATAACGTGTCTGGCTATGTGTTGCTTGGTTGCAGGTGAATGCAGAAACGTATTCATGTATATTTTTTTTATAAAATTAAATAAATTAATATAGTTAAATTATATTAAATGTACTTTTATATTAGTTAGAATTGCTGATTTGCATTTCTGCAAAACCATTTGTTAAATATAATTTATTCAGTAGTTAATGTTGCTAAAAACTTAAAAAGCATCTGTTCAAGTTCGCTTCTTGTACGAGTATTATATTATGTAAATAGTAAAAATGCATATTAGTTACAAAAAGGGTAAAATTGGTAAAAAATTCATGTTATTGATAGTTTTGATTTATTACAAAAAAAAGAAAATTGTTTATATTATTTAGTTATGTATTGTTCGAAAAAATTATGTACACATGCAATTGGCAAACTATTTGGTGATTTGCCGACGATATTTCAAAGGGGCTTTTGGTCGAAAAATCGGCTTTTTCTTTTTTATCGGTTCTTATGGTAGCTTCTATGCTTACGGTGACCATATTTATGGGAGCCGAATACGGGACAAAAATAATTTTGCGAATTTTTTCCACAAAAGCTAAAAGATCTTAAAACCATTTGAAACGATCCTAGATGTATTAGCCTTGAAACAGCACCCTTGTAGTAGCATCACACATTTGTAGGATACGTTTCACGAGATTTTTACCCCACAACATTTTTTACAAAAAATTTTTTGAATTTTAGTATAATAAAGTACAAGTTTGAAGTAGCTGGGACTAATCGTTAATTTTTGGCAATTTTTTTTTTGTCGACGGTGCTACGCAATTTTTTCATACAAAGTATGTATGTTCGAAATTTGTTTTTATAGGGAAGCAAATGAGCAGCACGTTGCACTTTATTATACTCATTTTAATGAGCTAAAAAACTTTAGGCAAATTTTTTGCTAAAGTTTCTGATTAAAAAGTGCGAAGTTTTGGTGAAACTTTGCAGTATTATTTGTCATAGTTTTCGCATAAAGTCGGATATTTGGCTATATTTTGTTTTTGTTAGGAAATGAGCTTTACTTTCATAAGAAAAAAAAATATAAACAAAATAAAAATAAGCAAACCTTGCTAAAATGTAGAGTCCTAAATTATATTTTGGTCACTGTATGTGTTGCTCAATTCGAATCACAGGCATCCAGATTGGAAAATAATAACTGTTAATGAAGAAAATTGCGATCATATATCAACATCATATAAAACTGGTTCGTAGGCATGCCATTTTAGTGAGCTGTTAAGGCGTCGAATTAACGAACACCGAATACGGGACATATACAGGACATTAAAGAAATACAGAACATTTAGC